GGATTGTTTTTTTGTTGGGCATTTTGGATCCCGGAGCATTGCTTTTCACTCCCGGGAGTCCTCCGGGGCCCGAGAAAAACGCACCAGGGCGCTTCCGGGTTCGTGCATCGACTTCCTAACACAATTGCAGCGGTTTTGCTGGTTGGATCACCGGGGGAGCGGAACAGGACGAGGATAGACTCAGGGAAGTGAGGATCATGAGGATGAGAAGTAGCAGGAGGAGAACAGGAGAATCCGGCAGGCGGCCGACGAGCAGGTGTGAAGCACTTGCGTATGTGTTTTGAACTTTCTTTCTTCGGCTGCAGTCGGGATCCCAGAGCATCGTTTTTCATCCCGGGGGCTCTCCCTGGCTCGACAAAACCCGTTCTAGCGCAGCTCCGGGTTCGCGCATTGATGTCCTAATGTATTTGCAAGTGTTTCCCTGGTTGGTCTCAAGGGGCGTGGAGCACGACGAGGATCCAGTGAGCGAGAGTCAGGAAAGTGAGGATCATGAGGACGAGAGTTTTTCACGCTTCGCGTATCCCCACCAGCAGCCGTTTATCCCGCTTCCTGACCCTTGTCTTGGAGCCGCCGACCAAAAAGTATCCCCACCAGCCCATCCAGAAATAGATCGCCAGGCGAGTTGCCTTGATCAGGGAAGTGTAGAAGCATGCAGTGTAGCAACCGCCTCGGAAGCGTTTTCTCTCGGAGGTCTCTTGGAGCCGTCTTGGGACTCTCTTGGGGTCCTCTTGGATGTGCGTCCAAGGCTATCTTAGCCATCTTGAGGTGTCTTGAGCCGTGTTGGAGGCTATCTTGGGCTTTCCGAGGCCCTCGTGGAGCCATCTTGGGCCATCTTCGTTAGCTGCCTGCGGCAAGTCCTGCCACTGTGCTATTCTAGCGGGCTCTCGTTCGAGGGGGCACTGGAGACGGCACTCGTGAGGGATGAACAACATGATAACAATGATGATGATGACGACGATGACGATGACGATGACCCCTTTGTGGGGTACTACAAACTGGTTTCCATTGTGTGGGAAACAAACGAAATCCTTTTGCACAGACTCACAAGTTGATTCCCATTGTGCGGCCTTCAAATGGAAACACTTTGCGCCTGGCTCAGGGGGAGAGGAGGGGACCGGGATCATAAAACGTTGTGTTTTTAATTGTAGATTGGTTGTTTAATCGTAAACCCAGAAACACACGCAAAACAAAACAAAAAACTTGAAGCAACAGAAACCTGTACTTTCACTGTGTTTGGGCATTTACACTTTGATTCCTATTGTGCGGCCTTCAAATGGAATCCCTTTGCGCCTGGCTCGGGGGGGAGAGGGGGGCCTGGACGACGAAAAAAGCAAAAAAAGACAAACAAACAAAAATTCTGGGACAAAAAAACTGTGTTGGTATGTGTTAAGTGGCTGTTATTTGTAAACAACAAAACACCAAAAAGACAACATGGACGCAAAGGAAACCTGTCTGTTCACAGTGTTTGAGCATGTACAAGTTGATTCTCATTGCGAGGCCACCGCACAGAATTCCTTAATAGGAATCAATGTGTAGAGCCCCGAAACGGCATTTACACATTGATTCCGATTGTACGGCCATCAAACAGAATCCCTTTGTGGGACTCTACAAACTGATTCCTATTAAGGAATTCTGTTTGGTGGCCTCTCAATGTGAATTAAATGGTAAATGCCCAAACACTGTGAAAATACAGGTTTCCCTTGCTTCCAGATTGTCTTCTTGGTGTTTTGTGGCTTACACATAAAACCAAATTTACAAGTAAAAACACAGCATTGTTGGTCCCACAGATTGTCTTATTTGTCTTTTTTGTTTCGTTTGTCTTTTTCGTCGGTCAGGCCCCCCCGCTCTCCCCCCGAGCCAGGCGCAATGGGATTCTATGTGATGGTCGCACAATGTAAATCAAGTTGTACATGCCTAAGCATTGTGAAAACACATGTTTTTGTGTTTCCAGATTGTCGTTTTGTTGTTATTGGGTTTACGTTTAAAAAACATCTACATTTTCTAAAATTAAAACAGGCGCTTTTCGGTATCCCTAATTATCTTGTTTGTCTTCTCTGTCTTTTTTGTCTTCTTCGTCGGCCAGCCCCCCCCTCTCCCCCGAGCCAAGCACAAATGGATTCTATGTGATGGCCGCACAATATAAATCAATGTGTATGTCTGATGAAATAAATTGCCTCCCAGACCATAGGAATGAATGTGTGTTGCACCACAAGAATCCCACCAGCCCTCTGGGCGTCGGTGGTTTAGAGAGTTTCCTCTTCCACCCCTCCTTCTTCCCCTTCGGGGAGGGGTTTACCCCTCCCCCTACCCCCTCCCCATGGACCTGGACGGGGGGGATCGCGAGTCGTCGGAGCGTCCAAAACGGCCTCGGCGAGGAAGCCAAAATCATTGATTTTACTAGGGTTTGGGCTCCATTTTGGCCTCCGGGGGGTGCTGTAATTAGTACCCCCCCTCCTGTGATCGATCTCACCCAAGATGGCCCAAAGGTGGCCCCCAGGGCTCCCAAGGGTGCCCCAAGAGGGCCCCAAGAGGTGGCCAGGAAGCCCCAAGAGGCCCCCAGGAGGCCCCCAGGAGGCCCCCCCAAGAGGCTCCCAAGAGACCTCCAAGAGACCTCCACGAGGCCCCAAGAGGCCCCCAAGAGGCACCCAAGACGCTCCAAGAGGCCTCGGCGACAATGCCAAAATCGTTGATTTTACAAAAAGGTTTTGGCCACATTTTGGCCTCCTGGGGGGGGAGCACTGCTTCAGATGACTCCAAGAGCGCCTGGGAGAACCAAAGATGCTCTCCAAGATGGCTCAAGATATCCCAAGATGCCTCAAGATGGCGCCCACGATGCTCCAAGAGGCCCGAAGACCGCTCCAAGACGGCTCCAAGTAGCCAAAGAGCTCCCCCAGGAGGCCCCGCAAAACCTCGGGGATATCAATGTTTTTGGCTTTCTTGCCGAGGCCTCAAGATGGCTCCAAGATGGCCCAAGAGGGCTCCAAGAGCGCTTCCAAGGCTCCCAAGAGCGCTTCAAGAGGGCCCCAAGAGGCGCCCAGGAGGCCCCAGGAGGCCCCAACAGGCGCCCAAGAGGCCACCAAGAGGCTCCCAAGAGACCCCCATGAGGCCCCAAGAAGCTCTCCGAGGCACCCAAGACGCTCTAAGAGGCGTACGGGACCGCCAAGAGGCCCCCAAGACGCTCCAAGAAGCCTCCACTGGGGGATCCACCTCCCCATGGACCTGGACGGGGGGGGTCGCGAGTCGTCGGAGCGTCCAAAACGGCCCCGGCGAGGAAGCCAAAATCATTGATTTTACTAGGGTTTGGGCTGCATTTTGGCCTCCGGGGGGTGCTGTAATTAGTAACCCCCCCTCCTGTGATCGATCTCACCCAAGATGGCCCAAAGGTGGCCCCCAGGGCTCCCAAGGGTGCCCCAAAAGGGCCCCAAGAGGTGGCCAGAAGCCCCAAGAGGCCCCCAGGAGGCCCCCAGGAGGCCCCCCCAAGAGGCTCCCAAGAGACCTCCAAGAGACCTCCACGAGGCCCCAAGAGGCCCCCCAGAGGCACCCAAGACGCTCCAAGAGGCCTCGGCGACAATGCCAAAATCGTTGACTTTACCCAAGGTTTTGGCCACATTTTGGCCTCCTGGGGGGGGGGGAACTGCTTCAGATGACTCAAAGAGCGCCTGGGAGAACTAAAGATGCTCTGCAAGATGGCTCCAGATATCCCAAGATGCCTCAAGATGACGCCCACGATGCTCCAAGAGGCCCCAAGACCGCTCCAAGACGGCTCCAAGTAGCCAAAGAGCTCCCCCAGGAGGCCCCGCAAAACCTCGGGGAAATCAATGTTTTTGGCTTTCTCGCCGAGGCCTCAAGATGGCTCCAAGATGGCCCAAGAGGGCTCCAAGAGCGCTTCCAAGGCTCCCAAGAGCGCTTCAAGAGGGCCCCAAGAGGCGTCCAGGAGGCCCCAGGAGGCCCCAACAGGCGCCCAAGAGGCCACCAAGAGGCTCCCAAGAGACCCCCAAGAGGCCCCAAGAAGCTCTCCGAGGCACCAAGAGGCCCCCAAGACGCTCCAAGAAGCCTCCACTGGGGGACCCTTACTCTGTGTGCTGCCCGCTTCCCTGATCGATGCAATTCCTCTGGGCATCGTTTCTGGATGGGCTGGTGGGGATTCGCGAAGCGTCAACAATTAGTACCCCCCCCTCCTGTGATCGATCTCACCCAAGATGGCTCAAAGATGGCCCCCGAGGCTCCCAAGGGTGCCCCAAGAGGGCCCCAAGAGGTGGCCAGGAAGCCCCAAGAGGCCCCCAGGATGCCACCAAGAGGCTCAAGAGACACCCAAGAGGCCCCAAGAGACCCCCCCCAGAGGCACCGAAGGTGCTCCAAGAGGCCTCGGCGAGAATGCCAAATCATTGATTTTACGAAGGTTTTAGCCACATGTTGGCCTCTTGGGAGGGGGCACTGATTAAGATGACTCCAAGAGCGCCTGGGAGAGCCCAAGATGACATCCAAGATGGCTCAAGATATCCCAAGATGTCTCATAATGGCTTCCTCTGTGTGCTGCCCACTTCCCTGATCGAGGCAATTCCTCTGGGCATCGTTTCTGGATGGGCTGGTGGGGATTCGCGAAGCGTCAGCAAGTTCATTTGAAGGCCGCGTAATAGGAATCAACTTGTCTGTACAAAGGATACTGTACAAGAAATCAAGTTGTAACTGAGCGCATCACGTTCACAATTCGCTGAAGCAAAAAAACAGGACAGGTAGATCACAGGAAGGGCCCTTACCATATATATATATATACATGTACATATCTATATCTATATATATATATATATATATATATCCCGCCCTGCCCGGCGGAGAAGGGGCGACGGAAGAGGGAGGGGGAAGAAACGGGGAGAGGCACGGGGAAGAGAGGGGGAGAGAGGGGGGGGAGAGGGCAGCAGGTGTGCGGAGGAGGACGCTGGAGCCAGGCCCTGGGTGGCAAGGACAAGAGGATGCCTTGTTCACGGTGATAATCAGCTTGTCTACACCCAGCGTCTTCGCGAGCGTGGCGTGCTCCTCTGGGCCGATCGCAAGCGGGCGCCAAACATCAAATCCTCGTCCAGCCGTTTCTGTTCCGTTGGCTGGTGCCGCTGTTTGGTCGCCCGACTCTCATTCAGAATCTCACCTCTGATTGGCTGCACATCCCCGAACTATCCCCAGTGATGCTGCCAAGAAAATGTGACCACGTCACAGCATAACGACAAAAAAAGAATATGACGGCCAAAACGTGTCACGTTTTGTTATGTTTTCTGTATAGACCCTTGCCGGTTCGATGCCCATTGTGCACGGAGGACAAATATAATGCATCGCAGAATGAGAAATTCTGAAAGACCACGCGCAGCCGAGGCGTTGCCGTGCGCAGGAGACGTATCTTCAGCTTGGGCTGCCCCTGTCATGCACGGCACGAGCTCCGCAGCGAGCACGAATCAAGACGGAGCCTTGCGACCCGGAGACAGAGGAAAGGAAAAAAATCCCCCCAGGGCTTGAACGTAGCGGACGTGACTTGCATTTCTAATGAGCGGCGCGGCCCCCCTGGAATTTTGCCTCTCACGCGCAGGACTGGTACGAAGTGTTTTGTCTGATGCGTGTTTGGTTCAATCTCGGTCCTTCCACAGTGGCGCTCCCGATGCAGCGTGGGCCTTATTCTCGGATCGGCAATTTCCTCCCGCCGTTCAGACTGGCGCTCCCGCCCCAGCGCGGGCCGCCTCTCTGCATTCGAGTCCTGCCCGCGGTCGTTGCCTCTCCCCGCTGCATTCGAATCCCGTAGGGTGCCCCCGAGGACTCCCCGCGTTCGGCCCACTGCCGCCCCGCTGCCGCCCGCTGCCGCCCAGCGGGTGCCCGAGGGGGGGGATCGCCGCCCCGCTGCGGGCCGCGGCCGCCCCGCGGCCGCCCCGTGGCCGGCTGCGGGGCGTCCCCGAGGGGACGGCGCCACGCTCCGGCCCGCGGCCGCCGAAGTGCCGCGGCGCGGGAGCGTCCCGAGGGGTCGCCACGCTCGGGCTCGTGGCCGCCCGCTGCTGGCCCTCCTCCTCCTCCTCCTCCTCCCCCTCCTCCTTCTCCCCCTCCTCCTCCTCCTCCTCCTCCTCCTCCTCCTCTCCTCCTCCTCTCCTCCTCCCCCTCCTCCTCCCCTCCTCCTTCTCCCCCTCCTCCCCCTCCTCCCCCTCCTCCCCCTTCCCCCTCCTGAATCCATGCTGCTGAGAGGCAGATCTGCGCTTCGAGAAACGACCGCAGAGACGCGCACGCATGAGCATGGCCTGCTCATCCACAGCGCCATACGACATGACTGTTCGGGGGGGCACGGTGGCAAACATTGATCAGATTGGCATGTAAAGGCTGTAGTGAGTTAGCGAGTAGCTGTGGGGACCCAGCGTTTCGCGGTGCCCCGCTGCCCCGCTCCATGCCAGGCGAAAGAGAAAGAATCTGGAAATTATATATACATACATCTATACACATACATGCACTTATATAAATGTATATATATATATATGTATGTACATAGTTGTCGAAATATGTATGTAGAGATGGAGAACAGAAAATCCCTAGACAATTCGCCGCCTTGGCCTCACCACCAAACCAAATGGCGAGCAAACGCCGGGCGTAGCCCCGCAGAAACTGCCAAGCATATGTGCTACCCATGTGGCGCGCCATGGATTGCACGATCCATGGGTTGCGCTACACATGTGTTGTCGCGCCATGAGTTGCACCGACCGACCGACCGACGACCGACGACGGCACCGCAGCACCACCCCGCACCCACAGGGGGAGGAGGAGGGAGGAGAAGGAGGAGGAGGACGGAAAAAGAGGAGGAGGCCGACCCATATTGACTACCTTCCAGACCACCCCAACCCAACCCGAAGACCCGAACTTGACCCGAATTTCGGGTTGGGGGGGGTACGGGTTCCATGTGTTTTTTCAATGTTCCCCGACCCCCCCCCCACTGGAAATGGAGGGCAAATCGGAGCCTTCGGGTTGGGTTGGGGTGGTTTGGTGGGCGGTGACATATGCTGCGCGCTCGACCGCCGATAATGAAACGGCCACCTAACACCTGAGCCATGATTTGCGCGCTCGGCGGCCAAAGTAAACCGCCGATACGAAAACGGTCTGCTAGCGGCTGCTCCGTAGGATGCAAAAACAGCCTGCTACCTGTTGCGCAATAGATTATAGGTTATGCGCTCGGCCATTGAAAATACAACGGCCTCCCTTTGGTTGCGCCAAGGGTTGCGCGTTCGGCGGCCGAGAAGCAACCACCACGAACAAAACCGCCTGCTAGTGGTTGCGCTAACAGTTGAGCGTTCGGCCGCCGTGGATAAAATCGGTGGGTTGCGCCATAGGCTGCGCGTTCGACGACCGAAAACGAAAACGGGCACGACCAGTGCAGCGCAGTCATTCCAATCAGTCAGCTCCCCTCGTGAGAAATGAATTCGGGCTACACCCGAAAGCTAAGCTTCTGTTTTCACGGCCTGACGCGTCACGCGCCAACTTTCAGCAGCAGGCCCAAATGGTAAACGATCCCACGACACCCTGGCAACCTCATATGGCACTTCCGACTTTTCTCGATGCACGATTTTTGGTCCGCGGCCACTTGACTCAAGCAGTGTTCGAGCGGCGGAGGGGCGCATCCGAAGCGAATTGTGGCACTAAGCAGAATCGGCCGAAGGCGAGGGTCGCGCGGAGAGATAGGAGGCCACGCTGGAAACACGTGGTCCATGGGCACGAGCGCTGGAGAGGCGCACAGTGAGGACGTCCTTGAAAGCTGGAATGCAATGCTGGAGGACAAGGGTCACGGCGCGGCTGGATTTTGTTTGGGGGAGAAGGGGGGATGGGGAAGGAGGAAGGATGAACGGGGGAGGGGGGTGGGGGAGGGGTGGGGAGGTGGGGAGGGGGGGGAGGGGGGGGGGGGGGGGGAGGGGGGGGAGGAGGAGGGGGGGTAGAAAGAAAGGCAGGAAGGAAAGAAGGAAGGAAGGCAAGGAACGACCATGGAAGGCAAGGGCAGTAAACAGATCCATGCAAAGCGAATATTATCGATGCACGCAGTGCCAGAACGAACATCGGGCCGAGCCACGGCGGAAGCAGCTCCCCAGGGCCACCTCCACCCCTAGCCCGAGCATCCCCGGAGACGCGCGGGCAGAAGAGTGCGCAGTTGGCAGCTCCTCGGGAGAGTGCGAAAAGAAGCGTCACTCTATGATGGCGTGCGCACGGAGACACGGTTGCGGTTGTGAAGCCCGGTTGTGAAGCAGGGGTGGGACGCATCACGACTGCGACACCGAAAACAAGGCGGTCGTCACGACTGTGAGGCAGAAAACGAAACACCCCGCGACTGCGAAGCAAAAAGCAGGAGGAGGCGGAGGAGGGGAGGGAGGAGGAAGACGGAAAAGAAGGGTCACTGCAGCGACACATGCTGAGCTAATTTGCTCACTTGGCTCGCCCACTGCTGGCGGGGGCGGCCCCTCCTCCGGCACCCAAAATGAATCCCACCAGCCTTTCCCTGACAGTTCTTTTAAGGGGGGGCGCGAGGTGACACAGGGTCCAAGATGGCTCCAAGAGGGCCTCCAATGCTCCAAGATGGCCTCCAAGGCGGCTCAAGATAGCAGAAGACGGTTCAAGATAGCTTCCGGCATACCTCTAATAGGCCCGACAAGGGCCACAAGACGATTCCATATGCTCTCGCAGCCCCCTCAGGACCCCCCAAGAAGCCAAAATTCTTCGAAGAACAAGGAAATCAATGCTGTTGCCTCCTCGCCTTTTCGCTTCCGATGCGCTTCGAAGCCTCAAGATTGCCCCAAGATGGCCCAAGAGACCCCCAAGACGGGCCCAAGAGGCCCCCAAAACGGCCTCAAGAGCGCCCAAGAGCGGCCCAAGAGCGACCCCAAAGGGCGCCAAGAGGCGATTTTGATGGTCCCAGCGGGGGGGAAATCTAGAACCCCCCCCTTCTTTGATCGACGCCCTGCAAGATGGCCCCGAAAGGCCTTACAAGGCACCTCAGTGGGCCCCAAGAGAGTCCCAAGAGGGACCCAAGAGGGCCCCAAGTCTGCCCCAAGAGCGGCCAAGAGCGCCCCAAGAGCGTCACATGAGGGTCCAAGAGACGATTTGTCTCCTCTTCCTCCTCCTCCTCATCATCATCACCACCACCACCACCACCACCACCACCATCATCATCATCATCATCATCATCATCACCACCACCACCACCACCACCACCACCACCACCACCATCATCATCATCATCATCATCATCATCATCATCATCATCATCATCATCATCATCCCCTCGCCCCCCCGCGGGCCCCAGGGATGGCCCGAAGGGGCCCTCCAAGGCCACCCCCTTGCTCGAAGAGATCTCTCTGTTCATCATGGTTGCCCGCTTTGTGTCACTGTACGTCTCTTCGTCCCTTGACCCGTCAGCTCTAATGGACAGGGCTTCTGAACAGGCGGGTTGGGATACTTTTTTTGGTCGCGGGCGGACGCGGAAACGCTGTCGCCGAAGGAGAGGTGCGGGCCACGGGCCTGCCAAATTGGCTACGCGCGAGCCTAGAGCGAAGCGGCCGGGCCAGCACTCAGAAGCAGCCTCCGGTGGGGCTGCAGCTGAAGGGAAGCTGGCTGAGCTGCCTGCTGAGGGCCAGGGTAGCATATGCAACATGCGGGAGAAGAAGCGTGAAGAGTTTCTTGAAGGTTCCATCAGCGAAGCAAGCTGCGGTCTGGAAAAATGAGTGGCCATCGGAATGCCTGGTCTTCTTGCGTTCCCTGCGGTACCACTGATATCCGGCAAACGCCACCAGCGGCCAGCGCCACGGTGAAAATTGGTGCCCACGGGCCTTGACTGCCGACGCCGTCAGAAGCCGCGGGGTGTTTCGCCACTGTCGCGAGTCGTCTGGGCAGGATAAGACCCGAGGCCTTCAAGTGTGCTACTGCTGGCGGCGCGCATCGTCGGAGGGCGCGAGGGGTGCGGCGTTTTAAGAGACCGTGAGGGCCTCCTAAAGGAAGGGGCTCCCCTCTGGTGACGCCGTCGTCATGCCTGCAGCATGTGCGCTCGCCATCAACATCCCCTGGCTGTTCACCACTGGCGCTGTCCCCAATTTCGTCTCAATAGCTTCATTCGTCATCATCGTTGCAATCAGCATCCTAATCATCGCCGTCGTTAGCGTCGCCGACGCTTTCTTCATCACTACCTCATTACAGTCATCACCTTCGTTGTGACCGTACACATCGTAATTCCAGGCCTACCCCTGCTCGCAGCCTGCGAGCGTGCACACTGGCACCGGACCAAACCAAACCACCCATGAATAGAGGAATCAAAAACGGTATAAACATAAAATTTTGCCGGTCTGCCGTCCCTGTCGCGCGGAAAGCGCCAGGGACAGCGCCGGAGGCGCCGCCAGGGAGGGGCCCAAGCGCCGATCCAGGAAATCCGCGCAGGCGGTCGACAGTTTATGTTTACGATTTTTCCCCTATTCGAAAGGAGAAAGAGAAGCATGGCACTCCAAGAGATCGCCTAGAAGAGATATTCCTCCTCAGCGGCCCCAAAAAATCCTTCGTCTGCCCTCCCTTCTCGAAGCCGGTCTCGAACTCGCCTTTCCGCGCGGAGATGATCAGAACGCCGATGTCAGCCTGCTCATCAACAAAGACCGCAAGGGGCACCGACGAACGAACCAATGCCGCGCAATCGGAAGACGTATCACAGGCCAGCGTATGAAGAGCCGACGAGCACTGCAGGCACGGGATTAGGTTACCACAGCGTCTTCGGGGACAACTCTCAGGAAATACGGTCCACGGTCCGACTTACGAACGAGTGGGCCGAGGATGTGAAAACTACGTGGTGTATATTACAAGGGGGGAGCCCTGCCTGTCCTCGCCAGCGAGCCCCTGACGCACAGTCCCATCCTCAGATGTCCATCTCGGGGAGAAGAGTTTGATCAGATGGAAGCGCAATCATGCCGACCAGCCAACAGGCAAATCGTGCTTGTCTCACGATCAAAAGACGAGTTCCTCTAAGTCGATTGTTATGTCGCTCTTAGCGTCCATAGCGGATCCATTGCTCTGGAGCTTGTGCCGAATACAAGTCTGAAGTAATACGCAGCGCAAAGCATTGCAACCTTCTCGGCAGATGCTATGGATCATCACGTGGCAACCCTGAAAAACGAAAAAAACACATTGATGATTCCTCTTGCCTTGCCTTGTGCTATGTTCCATCACCTCCGCCTCCATGCAGGCGCGGTCGCGCTCACCCCCGCCTGCTGAATCCACCTTGCGGGCCTCGATGCTGCATCAGTGACCCCCCCCCGCATCCCAGGCATCCGCCGTCGTGAAGAACGCACGACGTCCTGGAAAACAACGCCTGGAGCTCTGGACCCAACCGCATGTGTAGGAGACTCGCGCCCCGGATCGGTCCACGTGGACCCAGGGCCAGAAACGGAGCGAAGAGGTCCGCCGTGGTTGTTTCACGACGCCCAGATGTCTGGGTCGGATCTGCACCAGGTTCAGCCTGCGATGCTCCCGCAATCATGTTGGGCACGTAGGACTTGTGCCCTGGCGCGTCCAGGATGGTGAAGCGGCGTTTCGCGGTCTGGAACTGTGCTCTTCCGACCTGCGGGGAGCTTGCTTCCCTCGCACACCCCACGTCCTGACTCCTGACAGCCTGCCTTAGCGAGGCTGCGCGGAAAAGCAGCCATCCCGCCTCCTTCTCTTAGTCCCTCGTCCTACTCCGACTTATGGTTCCTCCTAAGTCTCTCTCTCAGAGTCTCTCTCTCTCTCTCTCTGCCCCTCCTTCCTATTCACCCTTCCGCTCCTGTTTTTCATGCACAATGTCCTCCGTTTCATGTGCCTGATCCGAGCTCCGCTCTCTTCTCTCTTCTCTTCTTCACGCTCCTCCTCTTTAAACCACAAACATCATTCCCTCTGCATTCCCTTCCTGTCAACAAGTCCTCCATGATGCCATCAAAGTGGGGGAAGGAGAACCCTCCCCGAACCGACCTCGATCTTATACCTCGGTCCGACCGTACTATGTTCAATGTAAACAATATGATCCAGAAAAATCCCCAGACAACCCCCTGGACTACCCGGACAACCCCATCCAAGATGCATACCATAAGCGTTCCAGAATGTGATTGTGGTTGGCGCTCGAGCGACAGCGCAATACCACTTAGGGATGTGGCCGGCGCTGAGGCGAGAGCACCACGCCTAATGATGAGGCATGTGGCCAGCGCGAAGGCGAGACGGGGATGTAGCCAGAGCTCGGGCGAGAGCACCATTCCCGATCACGGATGTTGCTGGCACTCGAGCGGCAACACCATACGTACCCAAGAAAGGAGGAGGAGGAGGAGGAGGAGGAGGAGGAGGAGGAGGAGGAGGGGGAGGGGGGAGGGGAGAGAGAGAGAGAGAGAAGGACAGAGACGGAGGAGGAGGAGGAGAGGGAGGAGGAGGAGGAGGAGGAGGGGGAGGGGGGAGGGGAGGGAGACAGACAGAGACAGAGACAGAGACAGACACAGAGACAGAGACAGGGACAGGGACAGAGACAGGGACAGGGACAGGGACAGGGACGGCGACAGAGGCAGAGACAGAGGCAGAGACAGAGAGAGAGGGGAGTAGGAAGGGAAGGAGGGCGGGAGGGATGGAAGAAGGTGGAGGAATAAGGTGAAGAGAGGCGGGGGTGAATGGGAGAGGATCAACCTGGAAAAGGGACAGCGAGCGGGGATAGAAGGAAGTATAGCACGGCATTACAGAAACAGGAGGGAGAAATGGGGAGAGAGAGTGGGGGGGGCAAAGGGCGGCATCAACAAGGCGAGAAGGCGAACCTCGACTGTTTTGCCCTTCGCCTTCTCCTCCTCGTTTGTGTCCATGATGTAGGCCAGGAACCAGCTATCACGATTCTTGTCCTTCGCCTCCTTTTGGTACTTCTCGATCATCCTCGGGCACACGCTCGAGGTGCTGGGTGCGATCGTGCGCGCGCGCACCCAACGCGACGCCGCTGTAACGATCGCTGGAGTAGGATGGTGTTGCTACCGCGCCAGTGCCCACAGGAACGTCCTCTCCGACGACACTGGAGGCCGCCAGAATGAGGCTGGCTGATGGGGTCGCAGAATCGCGCCGCGTCGCCGATGCGGCACGATCCTCCTACCCCACCTACTCCTGCCCCATTTCGGCGGCCTGGGAAAGCAAGTCGCGCAAGACAGTTTTCGGTCGGCGGAGGCACAAGGATCGCCATGGGAATCACATCAGCCCTGTAGGGCGTGAGTGGTTTAGAACGCTTCCTCTTCCACCCCCCCTTCTTCTCCACCCTCCTCCTGGCCCTGGACGGGGGGGGTCCCGACCCATTGGAGCGTCCAAGATGGCCTCGGCCAGAAGGCCGAAATCAGTGTTTTACGCAGGTTTGGAGCCCAGTTTAGCCTTCTTGGGGGGGGCTCGAATTTACCGAATTTACATATCCCCCCTCTTTGATCGGTATCCTGCAAGATGGCCCCAAGATGGAAGACCCCAAGAGGGTCCCAAAAAGTGCCCAGGAAGCCCCCAAGAGGCCCCCAGGAGGGTCCCGAGAGACCCGCAGGAGGCCCTGAGAGGCTCCTCCTGGGGCATCCAGGACGCTCCAAGAGGCCCCCGAGGCCGCCAAGAGACCCCCAAGACGCCCCAAGAAGACTCTAAGAAGTTCTCAAGAGACATCCGAAGAGACTCCGAGAGGCATCCAAAAAAAGCCTCTGGCCTTTCTGCTCGCCGCCATCCTCCTCCTTCTCTTCCTCATCCGCCCATTTTTCTTCCTCCCTCCTCCCCCTCCCCCTCGCCCTGCTCCTCTTTTTCAGATTCCTCATCCATCCTCACCCTTCTTTGGGTACGACGTCCTGCCCGACCCTCCATTGCACTGCACGCTCCTCCACATCCCCGATCAGGGCAACTCGTCGGGGCGTCGTGTCTGGATGGGCTGGTGAAGTTTTTTGTTTGATCGCGACCGCGGCGAAGAAAGGTCGGGCGGCGTCCCGGGAATTGCAAGCAAGCAGCGGCCTCAAATAGCGCGAAGGAAGAGGAGAGCGAAAAGAAAAGAACAAGAACGAGCAGGAAAGACAAACAGGAGGCGAGTCTCACTGCCGCTCAGAGGAGCGCAAGCTGGTGAGGCTACGCGAAGCGCCTAGAATCACGCACGTTCGCTGGGAAGGCCCGCCACAAGCACTGGCGAGCGGAGCCCCTTTGATACACACACACACACACACACACACACACACACATCATGTCCCTGGCCGCCCCTGCTGAAGCCGCCGATGTGGGGCGGGGGCCCCGGGGCCCGCACCACAGGGCCACTCTGGCACAGGCCAGATCACCCCTCACCAGCTGCCGAGGGATGCGGACGCGCCTGGAGGTCTGGCCCCGTCCCCCCTGGGCGCGAATCCATGGGGGCGATCGGTGGGGGGGGAGAAAAGCGTCCTTTTAGGGCCCGGAAACGGGAGGCCCCTTCTCGGGGCCCCAAAGGGCCCTTTTTCGGTAGCCCTCGCTGCCCCCCCAATCTATCGCCCCCGATTTACGCGCCCTCCAAGTAGAGGTCTGGACCCCGTCCCCCGGGCCATGCCCGCACTCCGGACCACTTCTGGCCCTTGAGGCCCAAAGCGGGCATTAGGAGGTCCACCTTACGAGTGGCAAAAAATCAACGAACGATGCTTGCCAGCGTGGACGGCGGCCCAATCTGTGTGGCGCGATCTAAGTGGAGCCATTTACGCGGAGCACTATGCGTGGTGCAATATAGGCAGCGCTACTTGTGATGCAAACTATGTGGTGCGATCTACGTGGTGCAATCTACGTGGCGCAGTCTACGCGGTACAGTGCAATCTATGTGGCGCAACTACGTGGTGCAATTGCTTCTTGTGACAGAGATGACCCATTCCATGCTCTGGCAAACATCCCACCCACCCACGCGCAACTTGGTTTGCAAGACCCACGCGCTGGCAGTTGCGAAGAGTGCTTGGCGTTGGCTGGTGCATCTCTGCGGCCGCGCCACCCCGCGGCCCGCGCGCGCAGCGGCCAACTAGTTCTGGCGCGACCGACGCGGCCGCGGTGGGCACTTCAATGCGAGTCGGCGGCTTGGGCGGGCGACATGACGCCCGCCCAAGCCGCCGAGGAGGAGGAGGAGGAGGAGGAGGAGGAGGAGGAGGAGGAGGAGGAGCAGGAGGAGGGAGGAGGAGGAGGAGGAGGAGGAGGAGGAGGGGGAGGGGGAAGAGGAAGAGGAACAAGAGGCAGCGAGGCGCACCGAGCACGGAGGAGGGCCGAACGGCCGCCATACCCATCCAGTACGGGCTGGTGTCTGCCGGAAACGTCGACAACGGCAGGCACGATGATGATAGTAGCGATGCTGGTTCGGACCACATCGTCACGGCGCTTTGCCAGCTGGCTCCCGATGGAGCCCAGCGAAGGCCTCGATTTGCCCTGGCCCGAGATCCAAGCCACATTAGAAGGCATGCCGAAGGTCGCGGCGTTTAATGCTCTTCGGATCCTACCGGGCGCCTTGACCGCAGGACGGCGTTTTCAGCAGGTCGAGCCATGTATGCTATGCACACAAGGAGAGGAATCCGTGCAACACGTCTGGTCATGCCCAGTCTTTCTCGAACTCCTCCCATCTTTGCTCACTGAGTTTTCTGCTCATCCGTTCCCATCCTGTGTTGTGGCTCGTCTCGGCGTTCGCCGCCCATCCAATATTGCATTCCTGACTCCTTCTGCTGCCGCGCAGTTGCGCACTCAATTACGCAGCCTCAATCAGGAAGGCCCAATTTCGGGAGATCGTGCTGACAACGACGACTGCGCGACCAGTGCGGGCACCGATGCTGATCACGCCGACGACGATGACGGCGTCCTCGCGTCGGTGATGGCGGTTTTGGACAGAGTGGCCCGCATGGAATTATTTGACACCATTCGTGCCCCCTCCAGCACACGCGCAAGGGCGTGCGAATGATTTCGGCATGCGGCGCGACAGGCCCGCCTGGCAAAATTCCACGAAACGGTTGGAGTCCCGATGGTTTTCTTCAGATGCGCGAGCGCAGGCTTCTCGGAAAACGGATGTTGCGGAACCATTTGATTTCATATGTTGTTGAACTCTCGGTTTTGAAATCGCTACGAATCTCAAGGTTGTTGAAGGATTTCGGCACGCGCGCGCGACAACGCGCGCGCGTGCACTTCTAGACACGGTTTGGCACAAGAATTCTCGCGACGGTACGCGCGCAAAGCTGTTTCAACGATTGCGACATGCGCGCGAAACCCGTTTGGCAGGATTTTGTGAAAATGATACACGCGCGGTTTTCTTAACAATTCGCATGAGCGAGCGCGAAACCTTGTTTGTCTGAACAGCCGTGCTGCGAAACAATGCTTTTTACAAGTTTTAGGGCACTCAATTTCTAAATCCCTACCGAAACCGAAAGATGTTGGAGGAATTCGGCATGTGCACGCGACGGCGCGCGCGCGTGGATTTCGCCAATGGTTCTCGATGAACGAACGCGCGCGCATAATAGTTTGCGCATGGGATGGCGAGGCGGGGGTACCTGCAAGGCTGGGATGGTATGAGTTCATCTGTAGGATGGACGACGGGACAAACCCACCTGCAAATTGCAATACGAAAGGGGGAACCGATGAGTTGGGGGGTAGACTATATTCTCGTTTAAGAGAAGAGACTCTAGGCAGTGAAATAAATGTGAAGCAATATATGTTTATATAGTGCCGCCTCTGGTATACAACCTACGCGGTGCAGATAAGTTCTGTTTGCAGTGAGTTGTTCACTCCACTGCTCGCGCAAACATCCCACCCACCCACCCGCAACTTGGATTGCCAAATCTCTTGAGACCGTGACGGTGGGTACCAAATGGCACTTGGCAACGACAGCGACGCCGACGACGACAGCGACAACGACGACGACGACGACGCCGCCGACAACGACTACGACGACACCGACGACGTCTCCCACGACTTCGACGACGCCGACAACGACGACGACGACGACGATGACGACGACGACGACGACGACGCCGACGCCGACGACGACGACGACGACGATGACAACGACGACGACGATGACGACGCTGACGACGACGACAACGACGACACCGACGACGACGACGACGTCAACGACGCCGACGCCGACGCCGACGCCGACGACGACGACGACGACGACGACGACGGCGACGGCGGCGACGACGCCGACGTCGACGACGACGAAGACGACGACGACGCCGACGCCAATGACGACGACGAAGACGACGACGTTGTCGCCAACGAAGACGACGACGAGGGAGGAGGGAGGACGACGACGGCGACAACGACGACAACGACGACAACGACGAGGGAGGAGGGAGGACGGCGACGACGCGAACGACGAAGAAGGAGGAAGGACGGCGACGCCGACGACGACAACGACGAGGGAGGAGGGAAGACGACCACGACGACAACGACGACGACGACGACGACGACGGTGACGAAATAGGAGGGACGACGACGAGACGCCGACCACGGACGACGACGACGACGAGGAAGGAGGAGGAAGGACGACCACGACGACAACGACGACGGAAACGACCACGACGCCAAAGAGGACGACGACGACGAACACGAGGAAAGACAGAGGACGACGTAGGCGACGACGACCACGACGACGACGACGACGACGCGGGAGGAGGGAGGACGGCGACGACGACGACGACGACGCAAGAGCGCGCGCGCACGCTTTTGTTGAAAATCCGTGTTGCGAAAACTTGTGTTTTTGTAGGTTGTTAGGACACACGATGTTGAAATCCTTCCGAAACCGATGGGTTTTGAGGGATTTCGGCATACGCGCGCGACGACGCGCGCGTGCGCACTTCGTCCCATTCAGGGATTCGTGAAAAAATGTTACGCTAGAACAAAAGATGTCCCCGCGAATCGTTTTTTTACGAGGGAACCTCAGGGGA